TGGTGGCGCAGTGGTTGAGAGTCCACCTGCCCATGCAGGGGACACGGGTTCGTGCTCCAGTCTGGGAGGATCCCACATGCCGCGGAGCGGCTGGGCCCGTGAGCCATGGCCGCTGAGCCTACACGTCCGGAGCCTGTGCTCCGCAATGGGAGAGGCCACAGCAGTGAGAGGCCCGCGTACCTACATATATATATATGTATATATATACAAATCAATTTTCACTGCAAAGTAAAGGAGCTGTTACACTGGAGGATTACTGGACTGAATGTCAATATTATGACATAGTATGAGTGTGTTTCGTATTTGGTAATTGCAATTATTGTTGCTTTTGTTGTGGTCATCCATTTATAATGCTTGGTGTCAGTCTATTTATCTCTTGTAAAAATAAAATACAGTGTGTGTGTGTGTGTGTGTGTGTGTGAGAGAGAGAGAGAGAGAGAGAGAGAGAGAGAAATATATATATATATACAAAAAAAAAGAGTGCCTAGGGCTTCCCTGATGGCGCAGTGGTTGAGAGTCCGCCTGCCGATGCAGGGGACATGGGTTCGTGCCCCGGTCCAGGAAGATCCCACATGCCACGGAGCGGCTGGGCCCGTGAGCCACGGCCGCTGAGCCTGCGCGTCCGGACTCTGTGCTCCGCAACGGGAGAGGCCACAACAGTGAGAGGTCCGCATAGCGCAAAAAAAAAAAAAAAAAAAAAAAAGAGTGCCTATTGGTTGGAGTTTGGTTAAATGAGTTTTTACCAGTTTAGTCAAGGAAGGAGGATGGTGTATTAGAGTTAGATGCACCTGAATTTGAATTCTGGCTGAGGTAAGCATGGGGAAATTACCAAAACTCCTAGCCTGTTTGTCCATCTGTATTGTGGGATAATAATATCTTAGATGGGTTATTGTGAGGATAAAACTTCATGTAAATCTTCACTACTTAACGTGTGTTCTGTGGACCAACAAGGGGTTAGCAATGCTAAATGAATACCCAGAGCTCTGAATCATAATCTACATTTTGATGAGATCCCCAGGTGGTCTTATGCTCATTAAAGTCTGAGAAGCACTGATGTATAAGGCAAATATCTTGCAATAAGGAAGCTAAACAGGGGCCTGCCTGCCACATAATAGGTGTTCAATAAAAATTCTTTCTTTGTTGTATTTATTATTCTTCAGCTTATAACTCTTTTAGTCTTTTGGACTAAAGTAATTGGTTTGATTTCTTTTTTAAAAATAAATAAATTTATTTATTTATTTATTTATTTTTGGCTGTGTTGGGTCTTCGTTGCTGCACACGGCTTTCTCTAGTTGCGGAGAGCAGGGGCTACTCTTCTTTGCGGTGCATGGGCTTCTCATTGCGGTGGCTCCTCTTGTTGTGGAGCACGGGCTCTAGAGTGCAGGCTCGGGAGTTGTGGCACACGGGCTTCGTTGCTCCACGGCATGTGGGATCTTCCCGGACCAGGGCTCGAACCCATGTCCCCTGCATTGGCAGGCGGATTCTTAACCACTGTGCCACCAGGGAAGCCCAATTGGTTTGATTTTTAAAAACACATCTGACCAGTTAATTTAGTGTTTTTCTTTTACTTTATTATCAGCCTAAGTAATCCTTCAACTTTCAGACCTATGGTCTAGAATCTAGAGTGTCTCTGTCCCTCCTTTTAATTAATTTATTTATTCAACACATATCAAACACCTAATACATGTTAGGGACTATGTATGACACTAGGAAAACAGTATGCAAAACGAACATGAATCTCACTCTTGTGACACTCAGCTAAAATTGGCACTAAAATGAGCCAAAATGTGCCATCTGTAATTCTCAAGAAGTAAAGCTTTGTGCATATGGGGGAGTAGCCTACATTTTTTAAAAACCTCCAGAGTATATTTTTTTTTCCTTTTCTGGGTTTTCTTAACTTTTATTAATACAGAAGAAAACTTTATTTACATCACATAATACTTCTTGGTTTGAATTTTACATTGTCTTATGATAATACTGCTTACCTCAGGGAATTCCCTGGTGGCCTAGTGGTTAATATTCCGGGCTTTCACTGCCATGGCCTGGGTTCAATCCCTGGTTAGGGAACTGAGATCCTGCAAGCCGCACCGTGTGGTGTGGCAAAGG